AAATTTCATACGTACTCCGACTTTTATTTTTGAGACTCTGTTGAAATCGGGATAGTCCCTTCAAGATGGGCTTCAAATTTTTCAAAATGTATATATTTACGTCTGATTTCTCTTCATTCTTCAGCTGCAAAGTGCTGTATACCTCAGCTCCATCTGGACCCATCCAATTTATCAAATACCCACATTTAACATCGTCATCCTCATCCTTGAGAGGTCCATTAAATAAAACCATGCACATCAACTTAAATCTTCTCCATTCTGTTTCTCTATCACTGCTTTAACAATTAAATTTAGGAGTGTTGATTGGAGCTATGGTGGCCATCTTAATTCACCTTCATACAGGTTGACAACACCCAATAATCAATGATCTATTTGATCAATTTATTGTGCTCCAAGTTCTTAAATATATATCTTAACTTCTTCCTTCATCAGTTTCTTCTGACACCATGTTATACTTCTGCATGGATGGTAAAGATTGTTAGCGTTTCCAATGGATGAAGAAAAGACCAACTCTCTCATTCATATTATTGTGACTGACATCATAGCAGTAACACATGACAGGAAGTGGCTTCACTTGATTAGTGAATGCAAGCTCTGTATTGTACTTAATTAACAAGTTAAAGTTACTCATACAAAATACAACACAGCTCTTTTGGCATTTACAGTAAATTAAGCTTTTCAAACTTCATCGTTTGAAAATTTTAACGGTGTAATTGTGAGCTCAGTTTTCGTGATTAGATACTTATTGATGAAAGAATATAATCTGCATTTATATTTATTTGTAATTTCTATTTTTATTATGGCTTGCTCTTAATGGAACTGGAAACCACGCTAATTTGGTTTCAAGTGCCATGTTACACTTTTCAGTGTGTAAATAAAGCGGTTTATTTTTCGTCATTTTTGTTGAAAATCGTTATTTTTGTACAACCAGCGGCTGCCAGGCAGGATACGCCCTCATTTTCGAGAGATGGATAGAGAACAAGCTAAAAAGAAAGCGATTTTTCGTACAATCAGGGGCCATATATCAGGAAGTTACGGTCCGATATGCGCGAATATCGAAAGGAACTGAGATCTTTGGGTTATAAACTTACATTTCAAGTTTCAACAAAATCGGATAAAAATTGTGACCTCTATAGGGTCCACAACCTTGATATACCATATTTTTATGCTATTTGAGAACGAACGACGTCCATTTTGTCTGTCAATTTTGGGCCGATTTTTTAAATCGGATAAAAATTATGACCTCTATAGGGTCCACAAGCTAAAAACGTGATTTTTTGTACAATCAGGGGCCATAATTCAGGAAGTTACGGTCCGATATGTGCGAATATCGAAAGGAACCAAGATCTTTGGGTTATCAACTTACATTTCAAGTTTCAACAAAATTGGATAAAAATTGTGACCTCTATAGTGTCCACAAGCTAAAAACGGGATTTTTCGTACAAACAGGGGTCATAATCCATGAAGTTTCGATCCGATACAGGCCAATATCGAAAGGAGCTGAGATCTTTTGGAGATAAACCTATATTTCAAGTTTCGTCAAAATCAGATAAGAATTGTGACCTGTAGAGAGTCCACAAACAATTGTGGACGGACAGGGGCAACGGCATAATACGTCCACATGAAAATGTGGGCGTATAAAAATGGAAATTATTTACTACTTGACGGGTCGAGTACCACCCAATTTTTTTTCTTGATCTTAATACTATAGATCATTGCCTTTTCACTCAGCATTCCAAAAAAATACTTAAACCCGCAGTGGGTGAGATATACATAGAATAAAATGACATACCTAAATTGAGCTATTTTGGTACCTTGCAGCAATAAGTCCCTTTACCAAAAAAACGCTCCATGAAAATCCATCAAACTTTCAGAATGTATACTCACTAACCATATCTGCTACGCTATAAAGTTTCATTAATCTACTCGCCGTAGTTTAGTTGTACGAAATTTTTGGGCTTTTTTCGGTCTTAAAATTTCAAATTTTTTTCTACACTCTAAAAATGGTTCGATTGATCTAAAATTGTGGCAGTGGGGTTTGGAGGGGTTACCCATCATACATAAAAAAAAATGGTGAAAATCGGTCACCCACCATGTGCCGGATCCTGCATGGTTCTCACGCAAACGCATTCTTAACACGTATCAGTGGATAATACCTTGATGGCCTTTTCATTTCGGCACCAAAGAGTCTGCATACTGTCAGTCAAGATTCCTAATTAATTACGTGAATTCACACGTGCCATCAAAAGGAATTGATAATTGAATAAAATAGAAAGAAGCCCCTTTAACAATAAATTGTTACCATGTCGTATTCTTGTAGACAATACTTTTAGTTTGAATTGTCAGTAAGTAATCATTATCCAAAATAGTTAACCTCATTATTAAAGAACAATTACAATGGGGACGCAACCAATCTGGATTTTCACACAAAATAGGTGCCGTTGTCATGGCTAAATTACGAATAGCACACACCCATCCCCTACAATATACATCATGTATTACCAGTAAGTTACAAGGGATTCTATTTTATTTACGATAAAACTCGGGATTTAAAAAATGTGGATATAACAGATAATTCAATTTTTGAATCGGCACCAGGGCTGGGGTAATGGTAATGGAATGTAATCATTACATTTTTTAAGTAATGGCCATGTAATGAGTAATGGAAGATTTCAAAAGTAATGAGTAATGGAAATGTAATTAATTACATTCCAAAAATCACGTAATGGTCAATTACATTTCAATTGCATTTTATGGCATATATAAATATTTCCATTACGGCAAGCCTCAAATTTTATAGCACCAAAGAAGTAATTAAGTGTATCTGACACAATTCCAATTCATTATAATTCTAAAAAAAAGATTTAAATCAGTTTTAACAAATTATAAGAAAAATAAGAAGACATTAAACACTTTCTTTTATTACTTTTTGTGTAGGAACCTTTTTAGACATGTAAACTAAGAAGTGGATTTCTGATAAGATTTATATTGTAATCAAAGATTAGTACTAATTTGCAGCCAATCACTTAGTCAGTCAATCAATCAATCAATCAGTCAGTCAGTTAGATTAAAAGACAAAAAATAGTCTTACTGCACTTAAATCTTAATCTCAAGGTAACAAGTGACAAACCAAACAATGACCTTCAAGTATCTTATCTTTTATGGTTACTTAAAACTAATATATATTTTGTTTTCGAGTCATGCTGAATAATTTACCAGTTATTATACAATATATTATAGAAAAACTATTTGGACTGATTAAAATTTTTTAAAAATTACTGCACTTTAATCTTAATCTCAAGGTAACAAGTGACAAACCAAACAATGACCTTCAAGTATCTCATCTTTTATGGTTACTTAAAACTAATATATATTTTGTTTTCGAGTCATGCTGAATAATTTACCAGTTATTATACAATATATTATAGAAAAACTATTTGGACTGATTAAAATTTTTTTAAAATTACTTAAAAGAAAATACAGTTAATTAACTATAGTTTTGATTCATTTTCATACAGTGAAAATGTCATTTTTTGTCACCATTTTCAGACAATGTTATCAGAATTAACGAAACATGGTTTCATTGTCTGCTTGTCGGATTAACTAATGACATCGAAAATTGCTATGTGTATGTGCTTTGTGGTACGATTCACGAATTAAATACCAATGCACATTATAAATGAATCCAGCATTACGGACATTTTAGGAAATGAATGCAATACATTGGTACACTTTAGTTATTTTTCAAAACGCAATTTGAAAAGAGTGTTAAGAATATATGAATTACCGGTGGACTAAAATGAATAATATACTCATGATATTGTTCCATTAAATATTTGTTTCTTTCTAATAACCTTGTGACAATATGGACTAAATTACTCTGATTATTTTGAATCACTGTGGACCATAATCCGCTGCGAATTTTATGTTTCCACCGACCATAATCCGCCGGGAATTTCATATTTTTGCGGACAATAATCCACTGGGAATTTTATATTTTCACGGACTTTTATCCTCCCAGAACCTCTCTAATTCCACGGAGTGTATATGGGAAAAACACCACGATTTTTGAGCAGAAAAAAGCCCACAAGGACTAATTTCATACTTCCGCTTGAACAGTACTGTAGTAGTACTGATTTTAAAATGTTCATTGAGTCTTAAATATATTGGATATTAGAATTCCATATTTTGTGATTTTAGTAGTAGTAGTACTGATTTTAAAATGTTTATTGTGTCTTAAATATTGGATATTAATTAGGATTCCATATTTTCTGATTTTAGTACTGATTTTAAAATGTTCATTGTGTCTTAAATATAGGATATTAGGATCCCATATTTTCACAGCAAGATAACATCAATTGTGAATATTATGGAAAATAATTATTCAGCAAAAGGTTTAGTCTCTTTAATTAAAGTCTGCTCTTTAGCTTGGCATTTTTCTTTAACAGTAACAGATAATCACAGACTGAAGGGAATCTACTTCTGGTCATGTGTAATGAAACAACAATATTGGTTACAAGATGATTTGTCCATCCCCACACAATTGCTACCAATCGGTTAAACTACATGAAAACTAGAAGAATAAGTTTTGCTTCAAGAATATCAACCTTTTTTACACTGAGGAAGTGACCTTGAGGTCATTAAAATTTTGTTTTATTGAACAAGCTACATGTACATGTAGAAATAATATCAGTATTAAGCAAACTATCAAAAAACAAACTAGGTTATGACGGGTTGTAAACCAAGTGTACAGAAGTCAAAACAACTGATAAAACATAAACTGATTTGCTTACTTGGGTGTATTATTACTGGTAACTGATCTGGGTTAATAAATGCAATATCTTCACAGAATATAAAGTTAATATTGCTGACTCATCCCTCTAAGTCATTGTAGTCACTAAAGTAAATGACAATTCACAGCAAATCTATTTGGAATATGCTCTGAGTGGTACAAAGATTGTTTTTGGGTCACATGAAATGAACAATTAAGTAAAACCAACCTTAACAATGGGTTCTTCTGTAGTTTTATCTAAATAATGACTGGCTCTCTCAGCTTCTTCGTTTATTCTAGCTTCAACCTTCTTTATATAAACAGATGCAGAATTCTCTCCTAAAAACTTCTGACTCTCCATCTAAATAAAGAAAATCCATTTAATACTTCTTAAAATAGTATTAAACTTTGTTATGGATTCTATTGATTAATTAATAGAAGCAAGCGGTTGCTATGCAAGATACGCAAACATTTTGCAAAAGATAGACAGAGAATAAGCTCAAAAAAAGAAGCAATTTTTCAAACAATCAGGGGCAATAATCCAGGAAGTTATGGTCCGATATATTTCATCAAAATCGGACAAAAAGTGTGACTTCTAGAAGGTCCACAACCTCATTATCACATACTTTTACACTATTTGCATACAAGGAGCGGCCATTTTTTCGGGCAGTTGCATTCCAATTTTTACAATCAGAGGCCATACATAATCCAGGAAGTTATGGTCTGATATGAGTGAATAGCGAAAGGAAATCTTTGGGACATAAACATACCATACATTTTAAGTCCACATGAAAATGTGGGCGTAGAAAAACAGAATAAATCAAGAGATAACCAACAGTGGGGCTGATGTCCCCCGCAGCAATCCCAAAATAAATAGACAACATTAAATACACATACTAATTAATTGCACATTTATCTATTTGAAAAGTATCGAGCTATCAACCTGATTATCTATACTTAGTCTAAGCAGAAAATATTCAAGACAGAAGTCAGTCAAGGTTTTGAAGTACCCTGTAAGGTAAGTATACACTAAGTTTCATCACTCTCCATCAGTTAGAATCAAAGATATCTTGTACCAAAGTATCGACCGACCAATGAAATTGCTTAACTCTTCTTATCTTTAGAGGAAAATGTTAATCACTGAACTCAGTCAAGACATTCACCTAATGAACATCTACACCAGGGATGGGATTTTGTCTGCATATTCCGGACTTGTCCGACGCTATTTTCCAAACCCCAAAAATTGTCCGACCGGGAATATGCCCAATTGGATATCAAGACATGGTGAATAATATTCAAAATTCCAAAATTAATATAGTTTACTGAGTGTATACTACCACTCAACCTGATTATCGCTGATAATATTCTGGATTGATTAGGTAATCAAGTGATCAACCTATTTATCGTGTTATACCGTCTATACACCTACATTGATTAACTACTAATCTGCCTTGATTGACTGACTTAATCCTTTGTCGGACAATTCATCAATCTAATCTTAAACAGAAACCATTGCTTCCCCTTTGTTTGACTATTCATCAATCCAATAAGAGTGATTTTAATTTTAATCTACATGTTTAAATCATGATTTCTCCATTGTCGGGCATTTCAATCTCCTTGATGTCGACCGACAACACGTAGGAATTAGTCATATATATTAATATCCTAATACTACATAACACCCCAAATCAATATACATTGTATCCGATAACTTGTCTGATATTTCTTCGGTGGAAGGCGCAGTTAAATAAAGCTATTTCACACACTCATATCCGATAAATACTAGACTGTTTGTTGATCGCACATGGCGGTTATATAGAGAATCTCCTACCAGATTTTATTTATCACACAATCCCTTCTTACATGCACAAATAGATAAATATTATTATTTGCTGTAGATTTAACTTTTACTGAACATTACAGCGTAGTGATACATCATTTTTTGACAGCAATTCAACCATTGTAAAGTCCTTCATATTGACCCAGTGTTTCCATCAAGGTCAATTGAATAACAATAGTTCATTTTTAATTTAAAAAAAAGTAACTTTTAATAAGAAATGAACTGTTTTCTGAAAATAAAAAAAAAGTAGTTCCTTTTCAACTGACCAATCAAATTCATGTAAAGCGATATCTCCTTAGGAGATTATGAAATATATCACACAAGCGATATCTACTGTAGAATGTATTATTGGGTGATAAAATTACAATAATTGAAATGAAAGTAGAAATCTCACGAGACACGTGAAATTACGAGTACAATAACTGAAATGAAAGTAGAAATCTCACGAGACACGTGAAATTAAGTAATGTAAATGTGCCGAATCTAACACATCTAAAGATTCTATTTTGATGGCATATTCTTAGATTTATGATCATATTTTGAATGGGGTTTATGTTTTTAAATAAATAAATAAACACACTAAGAAATGTTGATGAGTTATTGTGTTTCAAAGTCTCGGCCAATCAAATTGCTTATTGCTCTGCTTACCCTGAGCAGAAAATGCTCATTATTGAACTTAGTCAAGGTATTGATGTAATGAAACTATACTCCAAGTTTCATCACTCTCACTTAATTAGAACTAAAGTTATCGTGTCCCAAAGCATCAACCAATCAAATTGCTTATCTCTGCTTACCCTAAGCAGAAAATGCTCATCTTCGAACTCCATCAAGGCATTGACCTAATAAACACCTACACCAAGTTTGAACATTCTAGGTCAATTAGAAGGAGAGTTATTGTGTCCCATAAAGTGTGACGGACGGAGGGACGGACGGACAGATAGACAGACGAACCCATTTTAATAGTCCCCTGCTTTCTTCGAAAGGCGGGGTACAAAAATAACCAGGTGCATCTATTTTTTAAGAGTTATGCCCCTTTATTTTTAGGAAAATATGTCAGACAAGAAAAATTTTAAAATCCCATCACTGATCTACACCCAGTTTAAACATTCTACCTGAATTAAAAGCAGAGCTGTTATGTTCCAAAGTCTTGACAAATCAAATTTTTTATCGCTACTTAGCCTAAGCAGAAAATTCTCATCATCAAACTTAGTCAAGGTATTGCTCTCACCCAATTAGAACCAAATCATCGTGTTCCAAAGTCTAACCAATCAAATTGCTAATCTCTGCTTAGCCGAAAATACACATGATCGAACACTGTCAAGACATTCACCTACACCAAGTTTGAACATTCTACATGTACCTCAATCATATTGAAGTCTCTAATACACTTGCCTAAGCAGAAAATGCTCATCATCAAACTTAAGTCAAGGTATTGATGTATTGAAATTATACACAAAGTTTCACCACACTCACTCAATTAGAATCAAATTTATTGGGCATCAAAATCTCAACCAATCAAATTGCTTATCGATCTGCTTACTCTGAGCAGAAAATGCTCATTATCGAACTTAGTCGAGGTATTGATATAATGAAACTATACACCAAGTATCATCACTCTCACTTAATTAAATAAAACCAAAGTTATCATATCCCAAAGCATCATACAATCAAATTGCTTTTCTCTGCTTTGGTTGTGTAAAACTGATACATGTACCTTGTTTCTTCTCCCCATGCTCTGGGTAAAGCTAAGAGGATGTGCAGTAAACACAACACAATTTGGTATGCTTTCTCATTCATCTGATATACATGCACATGAGGTTTTTTTTTCATGCAAACTATTACAATTTATAAAAGACTTAATAAAGTAAAACACATCTGAATTTATATCTTTTATTTTGACTTACATATCCACAGACTGTACATATGTGTATTAACTTGTTGGATATATATTTTCCCTTAGACATGCATTTGTGACCCTTTTTGAAGCATATCAAATATATTTTTTTTTGTTTTCAGGACGGTTTTCATTTGTAGTAATGACTTGAGTTTAGCGTCGTCGTTTACTACCGGTACTACCTCAATCTGAAACCAAATGTTTTGGTGACATAGGTAAACATTGAAATTTGACGCAATTAGAGTGATATTATGATCTTTCTTTGATTTTCCTACGAAAAATTTATGGCAACAATCGGCTGCTGGCAAATCCCTTGTAAACATACGGCACACCAATGACTGTCCAGTCAAGAAATACTGTTGCTTTCCGACAGATTTTGAGCAAAACTATCAGACTATACCCTGCACCAGACCCTGCCATGCACATGAGGTTTTTTTTTCATGCAAACTATTACAATTTATAAAAGACTTAATAAAGTAAAACACATCTGAATTTATATCTTTTATTTTGACTTACATATCCACAGACTGTACATATGTGTATTAACTTGTTGGATATATATTTTCCCTTAGACATGCATTTGTGACCCTTTTTGAAGCATATCAAATATATTTTTTTTTGTTTTCAGGACGGTTTTCATTTGTAGTAATGACTTGAGTTTAGCGTCGTCGTTTACTACCGGTACTACCTCAATCTGAAACCAAATGTTTTGGTGACATAGGTAAACATTGAAATTTGACGCAATTAGAGTGATATTATGATCTTTCTTTGATTTTCCTACGAAAAATTTATGGCAACAATCGGCTGCTGGCAAATCCCTTGTAAACATACGGCACACCAATGACTGTCCAGTCAAGAAATACTGTTGCTTTCCGACAGATTTTGAGCAAAACTATCAGACTATACCCTGCACCAGACCCTGCCATGCTGATTTTTCACAAGCTGGGACTTGCCTGAAAGTCGGTTTTTCATTGGTTTATATAGATATGATTACTCGTTTCATGTCACTTTCATCCAATAAAAGTATTCTTATTTCATGATTTAGACGTCATTGATTTAAGATTCGTATTTTCATTGGAGGATATTATCAAAAACACACGTCTCTGACTTATGAAAGGCATTGTTACATTTATCTATTTCAACCGAAGCACTAACTATGTATATTTGATGGCTATAGACTGGAATCAGCATAATAGGAACTTGTAAACATTTGGAGATCGCTTATTTGGTTAAAAAAATTTGTTTTTTTTCTATTTTGTGTTGAGAAGCTGTGTGGTGGATTTTCGTGTACCAATTCCTAAGTGCGCGGGCGAGAAGAAACAAGGTATCATCAATTTTACATGGCCTTAGCCTAAGCAGAAAATGCTCAATCCATCTTCAAACTCCATCAAGGCATTCACCTATAAACACCTACACCAAGTTTGAACATTCTAGATCAATTAGAAGGTGAGTTATTGTGTCAGCCTGATGGACAGACAGACTGATGGACCCTTTTTAATAGTTCCCTGCTTTCTGTGAAAGGCGGGAGACAATTAAAATAGGATATAAACATGAACAAGAACCTATTTGGGTTTTTAAATTTCACAATCAGTGGGCTGGGTTAATCTATGCAATGTATGTATTATTTCTCTGCCTACATGTCGGTGATAATTTTTACACTTGGCCAACTTTATATACTATTCAAAAAAAGTAGGGGATATTTGATTTTTAAGTGTTATTAAAGTCACCTAATGAAACTGACGAAGAAACAAATGACAAAATGAAATGAAGTTCACATTCATCGATTTATTCCAAATGATCGTTAGACTAAGTAAGGCACAGACTGACCATTATAAGGGTAAAATGATACCCGGGGTCAAACAGCAAAGTTACCACAGCATCACAACCAAGTCAGTAACGGGTAAATCCTCCTCTGTTTGCCAAACAAGCATTGATCCGACGTGGCATACTCCTAATGAGACGTCTAAGGTCATTTTGGTCCAGATTGTCCCATTCCTGTTGCAACGCAGCAGCAAGTTCTTGGACATTGGCAGGACGTTGTTGACGTTGACGTAACCTCTGTCCAAGCATGTCCCAGACATGCTCGATGGGGGAGAGGTCGGGACTCAGTGCTGGCCAAGGTAATGTGGTGATGTTCTGTTTTTGGAGGTAACCTGTAACGATCCTGGCCCTGTGACATCTTGCGTTGTCATCCTGGAAGATGAAACGGCGGCCATGACGTCGTGCGAACGGCACAACATGGACTGCCAACATGTTGTCCCGGTAGTACTGGCCTGTAACACGCCCTGCAACAACATGTAAAGCCGTTCTTCCAGCAACAGTGATGCCTCCCCACACCATAACAGAACCACCCCCAAATCGATCATGTCTGATGACATTAACGTCTTGGAAGCGCTCGTTTCGACGACGCCACACCCTCCTACGTCTGTCCAAAAAATCAACAGTGAACCTTGACTCATCTGAAAACATCACATTGCTCCAGCGTCGATTATCCCAGTGTTGACGATCCCTACACCAACGACGTCTTGCCTGAATGTGATGATCTCTCAAACAAGGGATCACGCGAGGACGTCGGGCGCGAAGGTGACCCCTATGCAGTCGATTCCGAATCGTCTGGCCACTCACTCTCACACCAGTGTCTGTTTGAAGACGAGCGCTGATCTGATTTGCTGTGATGACACGATTTCTCAAGGCCAAGGTACGGATAAATCGATCCTGGGCTTGAGTTGTCGCCCTTGGTCGACCTGAGCGTGGTCTGTCCTGTACAGATTGTGTATCACGGTATCTGGACCATAGCCTGCTTATGACAGACTGAGAAACATTCATCGTCCGCGCCACAACCGCCTGTGTTGTGCCGATCTGTAGCATGCCAAGGGCACGTAACCTTTCATTTTGGGTAAGCCGACGCATATCAAAATTTGTTTTCTGGTCACTAAAACAATTAAACTGATGTTTCCTCCCTGGAATTCAATGCCACAATGACTGTAACATTCAAAGTCAGAGTCGTGCAAATCTTGGGTTGGACCCCCATGATGATCCCAAGCATCACCTGCATTCCATGCGGTAGCTATTGGTGCGTTTGGGCATCACATGTAACTGGAAATGTTTCTTCTGTTAGGTTCTATAGTGACTTTTTTCGTAGTCATTTGCATATTTTAGTATTATGCCCCCAAAATCAAATATCCCCTACTTTTTTTGAATAGTATATTTGCATAAGAAAATGTAAAAAATTTCCCCCTTTACAGCACCTACAGTGTATTATGGGGTTGATGAACAAATCTGAATAAGCAGCACCCAAGCAACATACCTACTAAGTACACTGTACTAAATATGGTTGTATTGGTTGTAATAAACTAAAAGGATCCAAAATATTCTTATAAAGTGTAACTTGTATGCCTACAAAGTCCCTTTGATACAAATGAGGATAAAACTTACTCTATAGAATTCTGCTGACTGTTCTAAGAAAGGACGTTCAAAATCTTCTTCATACACACTTCTAGAGTCTATACCTAATACCATTAACATTTGACAGGCATTCTTCACAGCACCCCTATACAAAATTTAAAAAAAAATTACAAATGATATATTAAAAAATTTATTACTTGGTAAAATTAATTTGCAATCTGCCATCCATTTACATATATGATTTAATTAGACATAATTATCTTCAAAGAAAAATTTACTATCCTGTTCTACAATTATACTGATTACTGTGCTAGTTCATTGAAGCAATAACCCATTTTGATCTGATAACTAAGGCCAAAGCTTTAAGTTTTAAAGGGTGTGGTGCCTTAAGACAGGGCATGCTTACAGCTTTTGGATCCCCTGTGGCAAAGTTGTGTAAGTAACATCTATTTTCTGATCTTACACATTGGAAAAAATTTTGGGTCTGTGTGTCCCATTTTGTTTTTGAAAAGATATAGATCACATTGTTGAATAATATTTGAAGAGCCAGGCAATGATTTCAATAAACAGGTTTGGTTGAAAGAATGTTATTTGTTTTTGTCAAACGTCTGTAAAGTTACCCTTTGTCACCCTCAGCACTAACAGTAATTGCATTAGGCAATATTTCTCTTCAAGTATTTTATAATTATATTATGTAAAACTTTTTGAGCATGCTGACCATAAATTTAACTTTCAAATCTAGTTAGTCAGCCAGCAGGTCTATGGTAGTACTAGTAAAGGCCTCGAAATGTTGTCGCTTCAGTGACTAACCTGTCACTCTCAATTATCCATGCCAATCACGTCACACATTATCTATCCATAGGTACACAAAAAGTCTTAAACTGTTTTGGTCCTTACATATATATTGATCCATATGAATATTTCTTCGACATCAGAAGGTCTATAAAATTCTCGCAAGTTCACGGATCAGCTTTGGCTCAGCGACTCGAAGATTCATGCAATTCTCTAGCCTAATCTGAATACACAGGAATTCTGCCAAGTATCAATTATGTACCAAACTTACGTTTTAAATTTAATAGAAAGGCTAATGACCTCGCCTTTGAGAAGTGTGCAAATATAGATTCTAAAATATCCGTAATAAATTAAATATCAAAACATGGACACGCATTACAAAACACTAATTTGTAAGCAGATGTCTGTACTTTAAATTATAATCTTTTATATGGTATGAATCAGAATTGAATTAGCCTTTTATATTTTGGTACGCTAATTATCTGCCGAGCAATCGTCCGTTGAAAAGCGTATATGGCTTATCGAGGGATTTTCTGGCCGTAAAATTTTGTGGCACACAGATTTTTACGATTTTCGATTTTTGTATGCTATTTTTAGTCGTTTCGTAGCTAATGGGGATGCATCGCAGAACCAAATTACCTGTCCAATCAAAAAGAGGAAATCCTAAAATTATTTATACCGTTTGTGCCCGATTTCTAACTAAATTAGAAGCCAAAATATGCCAAATTGAAGGAAAAAATTGCTTTTTAATAATATTTAGAAAAGGGCCATAATTCAGAAAGTTATGATCCAATATGTGCAAATATCGAGAGGAACCAAGATCTTTGGGTTATAAATATGTATTTCAAGTTTCATCAAAATCGGATCAAAATTGTGACCTCTATAGGGTCCACAACCTTGATATACCATATTTTTTACGCTATTTGAAAACGAACGGCGGCCATTTTGTCTGTCAATTTTGGGCCAATTTTCACGAAATTCGAACTCCGTCGTCCTTAGGGTGTAACGGTGAAATAATAGTACGTTTTTTTTAAATCTGATAAAAATTATGACCTATATAGGGTCCACAAGCTAAAAACGCAATTTTTCGTACAATCAGGGACCATAATTCAGGAATTCAGGTCCGATATGCGCGAATATCAAAAGGAACCGAGATCTTTGGGTTATAAACTTACGTTTCAAGTTTCAACAAAATCGGATAAAAATTGTGACCTCTATAGGGTCCACAACCTTGATATACCATATTTTTACGCTATTTGAGAACGAACGGCGGCCATTTTGTCTGTCAGTTTTGGGCCGATTTTCACGAAATTCGAACTCAGTCGTCCTTAGGGTGTAACAGTGATATATTAACACGTTTTTTTAAATAAGATAAAAATTATGACCTCTATAGGGTCCACAAGCCAAAAAACGCGTTTTTGCGTACAATCAGGGGCCATAATTCATGAAGTTACGGTCCGATATGCGCGAATATCGAAAGGAATCAAGATCAAGTTTCAACAAAATCGGATAAAAATTGTGACCTCTATAGGGTCCACAACCTTGATATACCATATTTTTACGCTATTTGAGAACGAATGGTGGCCATTTTGTCGGTCAGTTTTGGGCCGATTTTCACGAAATTCGAACTCAGCCATTCTTATGGTGTAATGGTGATATATTAACACGGTTTTTTAAATCGGATAAAAATTATGACCTCTATAGGGTCCACAAGCCAAAAAACACGTTTTTACGTACAATCAGGGGCCATAATTCAGGAAGTTACGGTCCGATATGCGCGAATATCGAAAGGAACTGAGATCTTTGGGTTATAAACTTACATTTCAAGTTCCAACAAAATCGGATAAAAATTGTGACCTCTACAGTGTTCACAAGCCAAAAACGTGATTTTTCGTACAATCAGGGGCCATAATTCAGGAAGTTACGGTCCGATATGCGCGAATATATCGAAAGGAACTGAGATCTTTGGGTTATAAACTTACATTTCAAGTTTCAACAAAATCGGATAAAAATTGTGACCTCTACAGTGTTCACAAGCCAAAAACGTGATTTTTCGTACAATCAGGGGCCATAATCCATGAAGTTACGGTCCGATAGATGCCAATATCGAAAGGAACCGAGATGTTAGGGTGATAAACCTATATTTCAAGTTTCATTGAAATCGGATAAAAATTGTGACCTGTAAACTGTTCACAAACAATTGTGGACGGATGTCCGGACGGACGGACAGGGGCGACGACAATATACGTCCACATGAAAATGTGGGCGTATAAAAATGGAATTTAAATGATTATAATGTTACTTAGCATGTTCACTGAGCAACCACCAAAGATGATCAGTTTTGTATAAAATATTCAGAATCTTACAGATTTTTTCTCAGATTAATCACATTTGTGGTCTAAGGGGACTGAACTCTGTCCTATTACCTCCCTTTGATTCCTAAATGCTAATGCAACATTGCATGACTTTTCTATCACAGAAAATACATTTAAACATGATACTTTTTGAATTTCTTTTTAATCCTAAGTTATATTTGTCTTGTCTGTTATTACTATAATGGTTTAAGAAGTGCAAAAGTGTTATTTTTGAATTGCTGTTTAGATTTGCTTCAGTTTGATATGTTGGATGATGACATTTGTTCAGTTTTTTCTTTTTTGGTTTGCGATAAAATAGTTTGTAGACGCTGGTGGCAGCCATCTTGGAATTGTGGCAGCCATCCTGAATTGCAAAATGGCCAATATCAACCAATTATTTTTTTAGTAAGGTTTGATTCAAGAATTTTTAATGAATAAACCACTTATTTTTGTTACACATATAAACTCCATACTAGATTATATAATGGTGGCCATCTTGGATTCAAATATGGCTGACATCACCTAATTTGCATATTTGCATCACCATGATTCTTATTTGGTTAGATGTTGTATTAATTGTTTATTATTTTGTAAATGTAAGAGGAATTTGAATATAAATAGTTACGATTTCAACAATATTACGCATTTTTTGTTTTTAATTTATTCAAAATGGCCGACATCGTGGTCGACCTATGTTTGTTTTTTCCTGTCATACTTTGTGCGTTGGGTGTGCGTTGTGCCAATTTTCAGCAAGATCGGATATTTTGTCCAGGTATTATGCATTATTATGTGCTTCTGATCCATTGTTAATTCCTGAATTTTGTGCCATTGACCCCTGTGACCTTTCAGTCTATTTTAAATTGCTTGAGACTTTCTCTATAAGAGTCTATATAAAATTTTAGACAAAAAGTACCCCGATTCACCGAAGATAAATGTTCATATCTTGGCTTCTAATAAAGATCTGTAATAAAGATATATTCAATCTGTAAACAGTTTTATGCTATTTAAATGTAGCTTTATCAAATAGGCATATTTGTAAATAAATCCACTAATAAATCAATTTTGCATTCATAGCCCTACTTAAAGGGCGATTCCCGAATTTCATAGAGCCTAAGATATAACATTCTGTGTACGTATGAAATTTAAACGCCAAAATATAGAGGAATAGTGTATTTTACCTTGTCTGAAAAGTTCAGTTCAAAATATTGAGTCGTGAATGTCAAAATCGCTTATCCGGACACTAGCATTTTTATGACGTTTTTTTCGTTGGCCACTTGATAATCGCGACTATTCTATACCGATTGTTAACTTAATTGAATAGAGAGTTTTGATTTACTCACCCTGTTGGGGGTAAGCTATAATTTGAGAAATCTGATGGTATGTTTATTTTTACACAGCCAATCGCTATAGTTTACTGGAACATCGGTCTATAATGTGATTCACTCGGGTCAAACTGAAAGTTGGGAGTTTGGTGTTTCGTTCAATTCATCATGGATAACCCTCGAAAGCGTCAAAGAGAACGAACCCTTACAGATACTGCACAGAAAAGAAGAAAGAAATAGTACATGCGAGGTTACACAGCACAGAAAAAGACGAATGTGTGTATTTATGCGGAGAAGTAGCGAGATGGAAATTGGAATGATTTCAACAAAGCCATCTATAGTTTTATTCTGTTAGTTTATGTTGGCTCTGTTCGATAGAAAAAAAACAAAAAACAAGCCAACAGTGAGGCTGATGTATCCCGCCGAAATCCCCAAATAAATAGATGACACATATTAATTAATCGTACATCTATTTTTTTCAAAAGTATCGAGCAATCAAACTGATTATCAACTATACACTAAGTTTCATCACTCTCTATCAGATAGAATCAAAGTTATCTTGTCCCAAAGCATCGACCAAGGAAATTGCTTATCTCTACTTAGCTTTAGATCGAAATGTTAATCATTGAACTCAGAAAAGACATTCACCTAATGAACATCTACATCAAGTTTAAACA